AACACCTTCATGGGTTACTGGAGGAAGGGAAACAGATACGCATTTCTGACAAAAGAAACGAAAAGGCATTTTCAGTTCCTGTCAGGTGAAAACGTTTTTTCCTACGCTTCTCTGCTTGTTGATATAAACCAGAGATTGACAGACACATTTTGTAAAGGACAGTGAATTCTAAGCTTTGTGGGATGTGATGACTCTGTTGCAAATATTCAAGTCTGCTTTACAACATTAGTTTCCAAGGAAAGTAGGTATGTGAACAAATCTTGCCAGGTTGCAATAAAACTTTATTCTAAAAGTAGATCTAAAGCAGCATATGTTGATTTTTTGGTAACATCAAAACTTTGAAAATTTTATCTTATATGCCAGAAAATTCATGTGTTTTGAACTGTGTCTCAATGGGAGCTCACCTGTTAAACATAGTGAAGACTTCCACTGTCAGCCCAACTGGCAACATGTCTTTATTTTTATTGTATTCTTCACTTAATTATAAGGAATTAATAAAGACAGCAATGTGCAGAGTCAAAAATTCAACTTTTTGTGTAGACATGACTGATATGTACTACTTTTTAAGACCTTCATTTTTATCCAGCATAGTTGGGCTGGAAATACACTGAAAGACAGGTTAAGTAAGAGTACTAAACATTCCAGCGGAAACTGAAAAATGATAATGAATAGTGGTACAAAACACTTTGTGCCTTATTCTGAGCCACTTCAATCGCCGGTAACATGGCCACTGGGCAGATGTGACTGTTATTAGCAAAATGTATGACCAAGGAAGATCAATCTCTCCCCGATGGGGTTTCCTGCAGCATTTTTCCTAACTGCTAATTATTTATTTTAATGTTCGAGTGGCAGTGAGTTTTTTAAATCTGCTGATTTGCTTCTTAGACTGCCAGGATTGTGGGAAGCTGAGCCAGACCCCTGGATCTCCATCCATATCTCCCATTTCGATGGGATGGGACCAGAGACTGGGCCGTCTTCTGCTGCTTTCTCTCAGCGGAAACGGGAGCACCCAGGACTCAGATCTGTGAGTTTTAACACGCACTGCTACAGCACCAGGCACACTTATGGTATGTGTTTATACAGTTCAAGAATTCTGTTAGCTTGCTGAGTATCAGTCCCAATTGTCTTGCTGAAACAGAGCCTTCCTGATTTGCTATGGTTGTGTGATGTAGCACAGAGATGTTTATTGCTTAGGCCTGAAGGCAAGCAGAGTTTCAGGAGTCAGAGTCCTTACACTGTTAGCTAGAGCCACAAAATCTCCCCTTGTTTAATCCTTAAAAGCACATACATTTGGTCACATTCCACCAACATGCTAACATTCAACCTGGCATTTGACTGCCTTTGCAGAATGACTAAAATACATTTGGGCTAGCTTGGAGTCACTGGTCCACAACAAGAAGTTCTTACTTTCTGGTTGCCTTTTCATCTGATAAGGCAACATTCATTTTAGTAAGCTACAGTGCTACTTCCCCTAGGGAAGGATCGATTCAGTGTTTCCTGTCAATACGCAGAGCACGATGGTCAATATCCCTCAGAAGCCGATCCTCATGTTTGCCAAGGCACTTGGAGCTGTTTGCCGTCTCTGCGGCTGATGTTCATGTTGGGAAACATGACAGGGTCCTCGTTGCTCCCTGCGCTGATTCAGATGTTCTCACTTAAGAAATCTTACCTTCACCAAAACCTTGGCTCGCTGTTGTCGAGTTGCTTAGCTACCTGTTGATTTCCCTCTTGAAAGTCACACGTTTCCAGTCGTATTTCTGCCTGCCAGGCCTCTGCCTGATCCCCAGTGGTCTACCCCCTCAGTATTGCCTTTCACAGTGACGGATCATTTGATTTTTTTCTTGGTTCCTGCTAGAGACTATTATTGCTAACTCTAGGTTTCTCACATGGTGTTTAGAACTATGGACTCTATTTTAATATAGCAAGTGTAACTGCATTGTTTCAAGCAGCCGGGTGCTTTCTCATGGCAAGGGTGAAATGTAGTAGGCGGAATAAAGACCTCACCCAAGGATGCCCATATTGAATGCCTAGGACTTGTGAATATGTTACTTTACATGCCAAAAGTGATATCACAGATGTTATTACACATACTTGCCAGAGGGAACATCAGCGATGTTATTACACACCTTGAGAAGGGGAGATTACTCTGAATTATCTGCAGAGACTCAATCTAATTACATGATTGCTGAAAGCAGAAATGCTTTTTCAACTGCTACAAGAGATGTGATGACAGGAGAATGCTCAGAGTTATAATAATGTTTTGAAATTGGGAGAAAGGAACCATGAGCGAGAGAGTTTGAGTAGTCTCAGGAAACTGCAAAAGGAAATGAGATGGATTTTCCCCTAGAATAAACTCAATGAGACACTTGTCTAATTTCTATTCTGCAACTTTCAAGATAACAGATGAGAGAAATATTAAATGATTCATTTTTAATGACAAAACAACTTTATGGAAAATTTCAACAGTAATTCAAACATTATATATTTACTTTGATGTTTTGGTATGATGAATGTGCATGCATAGAAAATATATATATCTATATTCATATATATTTAGAGAGAGAGACGATGGAGACAGAGAGAGACCAACAAACAGAGAGACAGAAAGGATATATACGTATATACTAATTTAGCTCATTATCAGGCCAGGGTCTCTGACTAAAGATGTTCACACTATGCCAAGACATCCGAATGCACCTCTTGGCCCACCTACTAGCTAGGCTGCCTCACCCAGGGCCAAACCTGACGCAAGTAAACAGCAGGTGTGTGAGGCTGGCCTGCGTGGCAGGATTACAAGTAACACAATGAACATGCTGTGTCTGTTTCCAGTGACCCAGGGAATGTACTAATCATGCAAAATATGTGGGACCTTTTGAAGATTCCAGAAGGGTTTTATGAAATAAAATACAGTATCACTGTTTTGCACATCTTCATATTCTGAAAGTGTCCATCTGCATGACTATCTCGACTTTGTGCCAAATACACGAAATACAAAGCCAAGCTGAAGTCAGCAATCTGAAGATGGCTGAGGGTCGAGGACACAGTGCTGCTCGCAGCGTGGGATATAGCACTTACACAAGAACGAATACAAGTGCAAACGCCAAAACCACGTGCGCAAACGAGTAACACAGAGCCAAAAGAGCTCTCATGATACAAGGATTTGCTGCTTATCCCAAGATGAGCATGGTGCCTGGAGTGCTGACTGCTGATTTCTCACTCAGCTCCTCCACTCTAAGAATTATAGGGAAGTTTACAGTTCATCAGTTTGGAAGTAAATGGCAAACTTTCTCCTGATAACCTTACAAGGAATCGCCGATATGACCATGAGAAAGCCTTGGTTCTCTGTATAAAGAACCAAACAGCAGGTCAACCTTTTATCTCTGTGGTCTATTCAATACTTAAGATAAGGCAGAAAAATCATATTGCTTAGAAATTATGAACTAAAAGAAAGGATCATTGGACAGACTTTTGACACAGTATTTAAGGTATCATTTGGAAAGCTCATATCCAAAATCAAAGTCCCCGTGTTAGATTCACAGCTCTGCTTCATAGTGTATCTTTGTGTTAATGTACATCTCGGAGACAGTAAACCTCAAGATTCATATTGAGATGTTGGCTCCTGATTACAACATGGCCCATCTCCGGCGTGGTGAACATTTGAGGAATGAATTCATAAGCAGGCAGAAGATCTTTTTTTGTTTCTCTCTTTAAAATAGAAGGAAAATAAATAATTTTTAACAGATTATTTATATTTGAAAGGGAGAGAAGGAGAGACATAGTAAGATCTTCCATTGGAGCTGATCTTGCTATTCGCCATGTGTGTGTGCATGAGGCCAACAGCTGCCCTTCTGCTGCTGCTTCCTGAGGTTCATTGACAGGGACTGGATCAGAAATGGCGCAGGCAGGACTCCAACTGGCATCCGCAGGGGATGCTGGAGGCTCAGGCTGCAATGCCACTTCCCTAAGCCCAACTAACACTATTTTAAGGAACAAATTGATCATGTGAATTGGGAAATGCTAGCGGTGAGGAGTAAAATTTTTCTAGAAGCCAAACAGAAAAGAGAGAATAGCAAGCCCAAGAAATAGAGAATTAGAGCTCTACCGTAAATTAGCAAAATTATTCTGCAATTAGTTATGCATGGTCTTACAGTAGGAACAGGCAACAAACCTTTATGAAAATGGTTTTGTTTATGTTCCTTCTTCTAGTGACTTTATATGAAAATGCAAATATATAAAGTTATGTCACATAATATGACTTCATATTCATTGACTACTAAAAGTGTAAAACAGAAACTTGATAGAAGTGGGATTCACTACTTCCCCAGCTAGATGACATCTCTCTATTGTCAGCTTTTAACTGATCATGGTCAAATAGTGGTCAGATCCTAGCTTCCAAATATAACCTACTGCCCATGAGGGACTTCCCCAACTAGCCTGCATGCCAATAATATTCCAGAGTGATTGACATGTCATCTTCCCGGGTGACAACAGTGACAACCACTGCCATTGTGAGTTTTATGAACATGGTGCTCCCTCCCTAATGTTTGAGCCTTCAATATACCTTGCCTTCACTGCACTTTGACCTCATGCCAAGAAAACTGTTAAAGCACCTGGTGTGGTAGCATAGCGGCTAAAGTCCTTGTCTGACATGCACTAGGATCCCAAATGAACACCAGTTCCAATCCCAGAAGCAATGCTTCCCATCCAGCTCCCTGCTTGTGGCCTGGGAAAGCAGTCAAGGACAGCCCAAAGCTTTGGGAACCTGCACCCACATGAGAGACCTGGAAGAAATCCTGGCTCCTTGCTTCAGATCACTGCAGCACTTTAAAATAAAGTACATACAAGAAGATAAACATCTTTCGAGAAAACAAATGGCACGAGAAGTTTTGAGCCTCAAAAATGAGTTTTGTTGGAGAAAAAGGGACTACATAATTTTCAAAAAATATACCTTTGTAGATAGGAATCGCTGTCATGAATATTGAATAAACGGATGTGCACTCATACCTACCTGGGAGGGGAGATACCTTGATCCCCGAGGTGTTTTTCCCAGGGCGAGGCTCATCCTTTGCACTTGTGTTGACCCACGCTATTTCCCCAAATGAGGAAACCTCCACTGCAGAATTTGTGGTAGTTGGGGACTGCATTCACATTCTGCCTAAGGAATAAACAAAGTTATTGTATATGCCATTAACTTTTCAATCAATGTAAAATCCATCAAAAGTATAAAGAATTTTTACCAGATTAAAATTAATATGATCTCTGAATTTTAATGATTTCCCACTGTTTTAGTAGGTATAATTATATGCTGTTACATAATTAAAATTGCGCATTTTAGTAAAATTATATTTTTATGACCAATTGAACTTATATGCTAATGATTTGATGCCTTACTTTATAGGCTTCTTTTTTCAAATTTTTTGCTCACGTATATATGGGAGGTTTTATTGTTTATAACTAAATTATTAAGAACTAATGTCTGTTTGTGCTAAGTAAACTTTTTTGCTAAGCTATTGAATGAATAAATTGTTACTTAATTACCTGTGAAGGGCGTCAAGTTCACCTGTAGGAATAAAAGACACAAAATAGAGCCTTTCTTCCAGTACACACCATTTAATTATCAACGCAGAAAATCAAAAAGTCACAGCAAATAAAATGAAACCTGAGATTGACATAGGATGAGAGGAACACTACTGCCCCCAAGTGTCTGAATGGAGAATGATGAGGCCAGGGCCATTTGGGGATAAATACGCGCTGCTAATTTATGCATTATAATCAGCAGAATTATTTGACTATCTAATTTCTTAATATTTTCCTTGATGATTTTTTGATCATCATTGTAGTAAAAGGGCGACATTGGAGTCATTTTTGGTGTCCGTTTTCTACTTTCCAGTCCATGGGAAAGTAAGAAGTAAAGATCAACAGTGAAAATTCTGGATTATTTAGCATCGTTTTTGTCTAAAATTGTACACTTGAGAAATGTTATTGAAATTAAAAACAGACATCTATCATTCATTACTCAATATTTGGCTCTCTGAAGTTTGTGTGGCACAGGTTTATATTTCTATATATAATTCTACAACAGAATTATTCTGGGCATAACACAGTAGAGTGTTGTTTAGAATTTTCATTTTGTCATGTAAAATAATAATAATAGAATTTTTCTGTCTTAATCGCTAACATAATTATGTGACATCATCAGTAATTATGTGACATCATCCATCGATACATGCCTGTGTATATGGTTTCCTGCTTTCATTGATGACTTCTCTGTTCAGATTATCAAACTGAGATATCAAAGTTCTTGTAAAACTTATACAATTGAAATGTTGTGTAAAACATTAGCACCTCAACCATTTTATGCATTTTCTATTAATTAAGGATGGCTTGATAGTTCCGTATCTCAGGGCCGCTTTAAATAAGAGCGATTTTGTTTAAAAATGTAATCGAAGAAAAGATCATAGGAAAAAATTAAGAAGAGATGCAGGTTTTAGTGTGTAACCCACAGCGTGCTTTCAGAGCACCTGTGCATTCTCGGACTAATTTGGACGTGGGTTGCAGTGCTCTGAGATGCCATTTCTGATCTGTCAGCTTGGGAACAATTGAGATTGGTAGCGCATTCTGTTGATAAGACTGGAGAAAAGCAACTCTCTTCTCTTGTCAATCGAAATCCAAAACCACATATAACTTATAAAGGGAAACTGTAAACATCAAGAAAAATTGCACATCACTTTTTCCCTTAAACTGACAATCTGTGGATAATTATCTCCACCAATATAAAACATGGACATAGATTAATTAACTGCAATATTTTTATAGCACTTGTACACAACACTGCAATAGCATTTTAAAAAAATATTATTTTTTTTTTTTGAAAATGGAGGTCTATATAGAGAAGCAGAGACAAAGAGAAAGATCTTCCTTCCACTGTTTCACTCCCCAAGTGGCCGCCATGGCCGTAGTTGAGCTGATCCGATCCAAAGCCAGGAGCTTTGTCCGGGTCTCCCACAGGGGTGCAGGGTTCCCATGTGTTGGGCCAGCCCCCATTGCATCCCCAGGCCATGAGCAGGTAGCTGGATCGAAAGTGCAACCAACAGACAGAACAGGAAGTGGCAACCATGCGTGACTTGCACGCAAGGGATTATCCAATTGAGCCATCACACTGTTCCCCTGTATTTTCTAAATATATCTTATTTTTTATGTTATGATAGCTTATAATACTGACAGTGACAACCGTATTGCAATTTTAAACTACTATACATAATTATATAAACCTTTTCATTTTATTTTATGTAAAAAATATTTATATTCTGTGGTTATTTGTAATGCAGGATTGTTAGTAGAAATTAATATTTTTCAATGTTCTTACAGTGATTATAGAGCAAACATATATATAAAATAAAAGTAATTAGGAGTAAGTCCCATAATTTAAATGAACTCAAACTCCCAGATTTAGAAGCTATGGCACTTCAATAATAATTATAGTGCTAGCATCCAGATCACTGTAGTTAGATCCCTTTGTATTTAAACTGTTGTGTTTAATTAGCATTTTGTTAAATACCACTACCTATTAATAGGCATCGTGTGTCTCTACAGAAATGGATGATTCTAAGTCTGATCAGAAAAAGAACAAAATGTATCTGAATCACTAATTCATCCAGAATAAAAACAGGGAAACAATTTTTTTAAGTAAAGGGAGAACAAAAAGTAAAAGAACACAGCGAACATATTTAAAGAAATTGATACAGAATACGTTCCGGCTATTCTCAGCCACAAAAGAATGGATGCGATTGTTGTGAATTCCTTGTACCCAGCAGTCCATCAAACTGCTCTGGTACTAGTCAATGTAACAAAAATAAATCCTGGAAATGGTAATTGTACAACTATTGTTATAATCATAATTAGAAAAAAGGCTCATATATGGAGCATAACTTTGCAACAGAAAAATGTTTATTAAAGGCTAAATCATTTAATACTGTCAAATGTGGTCCAATGTTAATTATTGATGAACAGATTAAAAGATAAACATGTATAGAACTTACAATGTATACTCAAGTGTTAAAAATCAGTAGGTATAAAAGAAACTGGCATTTCAATGCAGAGTGGTATAACATGACAGAAACTAGGAATCTACATGTGGAAAAATATTCCCAACAGCTGATTCATCTAGGACTAAGCAACGTATATGATTAGCATATATTTTATAAGGACAAAGGAACAAATGCGAATTAAGATGGTAGATTAGGTAAGGACATGTTTAAACAGATGGAGAATCATTAGGCAAGGTGAAGCAGAGAGGACACATTCCAGGAAATGAGAGGAGAGACCAACTACAGAGGGGCACCTGGAGGCTGAGGGTCGTGGGACCCTCAGCAACAACAGTGTGGTGTTGCAGTGATCAGAAACCCCAGTGGCAGTTAGTGAGCAGAGAACTGACCTCGAGCCACGACTGGAGCTCCACCAGCAGACAAGGGGAGAGGGGAATCACAAGGAACTCGGGAGATGAACCCAGGAAAACAAAAACAAACAACAACAACAACAAAACACGACCTGCCCACGCCGCTGATTTGGCTGATTCGACCAGGAGTAGACACAGAGCACAGACCATAAACAGGCAGTGCAGGAAAATGACGATTTCGCAGTCCAGATGCTCACCAGAATTGCATTGGCTCTTATTTCGTGTAGCGAGGTAAAGGCTGTGGGACAAGACTGGATGCACTAAACTGGGAGCGAACTCATTTCTGGCTCAGTACGTTACACTTCTGTGGCATGCTACAGGTTCCACCCAAAATACTTCTGGGTAGCACAAAGACTTAATGGCCAGTAGATAAACTCCACAGGTGGCACATCAGGTGTCATTATGTACTGTGTGGCAAAGGCTGTGAGACTGGAGGAACAACAGTGAGCTATGCATGTGCTGAGCTGGGAGAGAACTCACTTCTAGTTCAGTGTAGTACACCGGTCCCACAAGGGAAATAATACCGACTTTGGCATCCCATGGGACAAAATAGGCACAGGTGGCCATCAGACCTAATGGCCAGCAGGTACCGGCCAGATCAACACCACTAACAACCCAGTTATTTAGGACACTTGTTGTCTCCCAAATCCTGGGAACTGATTGAACGAAAAGTGGGAGAAAGGTGGTAGAGACAACAGTGTTGCCACAACACAGGATCACAGGAGGTAGGAAGTGGTGAACCAGAAGCCGGGGCTACAGAGACTATGGTGAAAGCCTAACACACCAATCCACCTGAAACTCACTCGCTGGAGGGAGTGGCACAAGTGACTGCAAAGAACTGATACCTAATACAATCAGTGACATTGAACTGTAGACCCGTGGTGACACAGCTTAGAAACCTGGCATGAGGAGAACAATCTGATAACCAGAGGCACGATGACTGACAGCAAAAGAAGGGACAGAAGTACAACGGATATTATCGAAGACTCCCCTGCCAAGGCGCAAAAGCCTTTGCCAATCCCCGAGTTAACTTATGCATGCCCTGTCAACATGGGAGATAAAAACTTAGAAACAAGCAAACAAAAGCTTGTTCCAAAGTTTCTTATTAAAGTTTCTTATCAACAAGGAGAAGCACATGCAGGAATTTAAGAAATAGGTAACACAGCAAATAGTGACACGGAAACAAAACGAAGCAGAATTACGAGAAATGCAGGACTTGTTAGAGTAAATGATGAGAATTGAGTTGAAAGGCTCAGCATTAGAATGAATGAGGCAGAAGAGTCTCAGAATTGGGAGATATTCCTTGCTAAAATGGAGGGAAAAAAAATCAAAGAGCTGCAACTTAAAAATGTATAAAGAGCCAAACTTTAAAAAGTATACAAGAGTTAAGGGACATTATTAATAGGCCAAATATAAGAGATATGGGAGTTCCAGAGAGTGCAGAATGAGAAACTAAACTTAAAAATATATTCAATAAAATAATAAAGGTTTTTTTTTTTTTCTAATTTGGAGAAAAATCTGGGAAACAGAATACAGCAAGGGTATAGACCTCCCAACAGGGTTAACCAAAAGCCATATTCACCAAAACAGGTGAGAATGAAACATTCTTTAGTTGAACATAAGGAAAAGATGCTTAAATGCACACATTAAAAAAAAATCAGTCAATATAGAAGAATGGCAATTGGGCTCTTGTTTTTCATATTA